TCTTTTAAACACTCTAAGTAATATCAGCTTGAGAATTTACCTTTCTTCTGATGCTTGTGACACAATTCTTGACTTTTCCAATAAGTACTTGCGCAGAGCAGCACTGTAAACATATAAAACAAGCAAAAAGATCAACAATATTTTAATAGTCTTAGAACACTTGCTTGTTTTGGGCTTCCTGTGGTGGGTAGACCACAGGTAACCCACAAGYTTGCTAGATTCCATTCCTACCCTGAAACTGCTCCATCCTCTCTGAATTTAATTTGTGTGAATTTTCCAAATCTACTTGAATTGTTATTGTATGCTGTTTTAGCATTACCAAATGCCTAAAAATGATAAAAAATACATTAGAAATACATGGTCTACAAAAAGGAATTACTATCCTATCAAAATGAAGGGAGGGGGGGACAATAATTTGCAAAGCCACAATCTCAGTTTTGACTTTTTGAGCATTTATTTTGAGTATTTCCTGTATGTCTGGGGGTCTGGGATTCAGTCTGTGATCCCCCCTCCCCCCTCCTCCCAGAGGAAGAGCTCATTCATTAGGATGCATTAAATTATATAGTTTTATAATAATTGTATGAGGAAGTAGCTGATCCCATTAAAGAGTGCTCAATACACATAAAGTGTAGAGCTAGTTATATATATAATAAATATCAAAGAGCACGAAACTCGGAGTTACAGCAAAATCTTGCCTCTTTGATATTATATATATAGTTTTATAATACATAATAAATCCTTAAGAAAGGGCCAAAGCTTTATTTGTAGTGAATACATAATAAATCCTTAAGAAAGGGCCAAAGCTTTATTTGTAGTGATTTCCTTTTTCCTTTTTGTCTTAATGGAATGAAACTCAATTATTAAATAACTATATTTAAAAAGTAAATAAGTATTAAAAAGGATGTACAATTAATAAACTTGTGACCGCAATGGATTCATACTGGTCTAAACCATCTAATAGTATAACAGCAATGTGGTTTCTGTGGTTGGATTAAGGGTAAATTACAGACTAGATATAAATGCATTTACTACAATATAGAAAGCTCTAGTGTAGACATGTGAGACATAGTAGAATTGAAGATAGGATAGATCAAATAGATCACAAGGAAATAAATGGAAACTACACAGGGTTATAAGGTGTTGAATTAACTAATAAGGTGGTTTATCTTTGCAATATTCCTTGGAGTTGAAGTCGATCACAACATCAAATAACATGGCAAAAAGAAAGTTTAAATTGCACTAATTTCTCCAAGAAATTTCTTATTGCTTGGGGCAGCTTGTTTCTTACAATTCTATAAATTGACCCTAACATTGTCATCAAAACAAACAGAGGAATTTTCAGAAAAATCAAGTWTCTGTTATATAACAGAATGAAAATTTCTAAATACATAAAAAATGTAATCTGAATATATCTTAGTATAGGTAAATGATTGCTTTACAAGCTGGTTGAGTTTAAAATTAATTGCTTAAAAGAAACCAAGGTTATGAGTCGAACGTAAAATAACTTCATTTAGGTGGATTCACTGAGGAATAGAATGATAAAAGAAACTTTAACTATCAATGACAGCTGGTCACTTTTTTTAAGCACCTATCAAAACTAATGAAGCTTCTTCATATCTGTTTTTTCTGAATTTCATTATAATTCTAATAATGTTGTAGCCTCGTATCTACTAAATCTATTACTCAGGTTTTTTGTCTACACTCAAATTAGACAAAACAATAAATTTAAATGACAAGAGTAAAGCCAGACAAAACCTTTCTAGACATAACTGTCTAAAAGTGTTTGCACAAAACAGGTTGTAAAACTTCTTATCGTAAACAGATAATCTTGGTCAATTAGTGATAAACATCCAACAAAAAGCCACAGTCACAGTTTGTTGAATGGGAAACATGTTTTGGTAGCTAATTCATGAAGTAAAGTTTTAACTTTAATTTTAAGGAAATTGAATGCAAAAAATAAAAACCCCTGCTACTTTGAGTGATGACTAGATGTTTGAAAATTCAAAGGAATTGCCATAAATATAAAACTATTTTTTTCCTGTAGCTAAAAATATATAGTCTTTYACCTTACATAAATATGTACAATATAGCTAAAAAAAATGTAAGGAAAAGAAACTGGAGGTAATTATGTCAAATATAGATTAGTAGTCAAAGAATAGAAAATAATAGAAAACAAAAAAATGATTAATTCATTTTTAACAATTGAACACCAAGAAGTAAAAACATTTTTTATTCAATGTTTTGAAAACAAAAAGATTTGAAATATGGTTGATAAGTTTACTCAAATTAAATTTAGACACGAAGTACTAGATAAAAAATACTAACATTTGGTATTTTAGTATGTAAGAAAAACATCAGAACAAAAGATGTCATTGAATCTTCTTTTATTTAAAGTGTTATTTCCCAACTTAAAATCCTATTTTGCCAAGTACAAAAAAATATATATATTTTTTTTCTGAAAACTTCCTGGCAAGTCATTATAACAAAATCATATAAAAACATGGTGTTTTTCTTTTCTTTTTTGTACATGGAAAATGTGCGCCCAAGTATGTAATATCAGCTGCTTGGGGCAAGCAAATAGTACACTGGTAATGACTGCTTTTGTATGACATGTAACCATGGCAATAACAAAACACTTCTCCCAATCGTCTGATGAGATAAGATTTTGAATAATAAACCTTAATTAAGAAATATAAAACGGCGCGCGTGTCTCTGTCCTCTGATATAAACACGGTGGGAGTTCGGAAAACACGAGAGAAGCAAGCTTAGGAACACAAGCGTAGCGAGTGTTTCTCTTGCTTCTTGAGTGTTTTTCAACTCCCATCGTGTTTATATCAGAGGACAGAGACACAAGCGGCCGTTTTATATTTCTTTTATAAAATTTTTCGAGCGAAAAGAAAATTTTGCCGATAAGCCGTGTCTCTGTCCTCTGATATAAACACGGTCGTCAGCCAATCAGAGCGCACGTTATATATCAAACATTTTATAATAACTATTATAATTTAACTCTTTTTATTCTATATTACCAATTAGACCACGAGATCTAATGGACTACAAATTGATAATGTATAAGTCTGTACTGTACTTGGCAAGATAGACTATCATATAGACCAAGAGGAAGTGCTTTAGTAACCACCAAACTATAGGACAAACTTACAATAACAACATGACAGCTTTTCTCAAAACAGTCAAGCTCTTTCATGAATAGATCTAGATCTAAATTCTAAAGCTAATGAGATTTGCTGGAAGTGTGATAGTTCAAAGTTTSGTTACAAATATAACAAATAATTATATTGATATCAAATACTGATACACGARGGATTAATATTATTTATCAATATTAATTGATTATTATATTTCCATACCTCTAGCACAGGCCCCACGCCCAAAACCGTCTTCTCTATTGCRCATGTTGGTTGAGATTTACGACTGAGTGCYGTCAAATGATGAACAATAAGCTTGGTACTCTCTGTTTTCCCTGATCCACTTTCTCCACTTATAACAATACACTGGCTTGTCTTTTCCTTCAACATACGATGAAATGAAATATCCGCAATGGCAAATATATGTGGAGGCAGGGATCCAAGGTTTTTATTATTGTACGTGGAGATGAACTTGGGGTTATAAATGGGGAAAAACCTAAATGGATTAACAGCCAATAGAATCTCTCCAACATAGGTGTATATACGGCCGACTTCAAACCTYTCTTGCAAGTGCTTRAGTAACATGTCTTCATCAAGTTTGGGTAACCTACATAAGTCGTCATCTGGAAGCCGAAAATCCAGACCTAGATTAAATTTATGGTTCATAGTGACTATACTTTCGTGGCAGTCCATCCAATTTTGACGTAGTCTTGGGGACAAATCTTCACTGCCAGAAGAYTGYTTTTCGCGTACAAAAATTCGATAACAAGATCTAGCAGATGATGGTAAAAAATCCCAGGACTTTACTAGTTGAATTGGAAAATCMCCATCTTCTAGAACTTTCTCTGACTCATGTTCCAAGATRCTGTTACGATAACAAACTTCCACTARTTCAAAATTTTCYGAGCTTTCCTGAATTTCAAGCTTYGACAGAACAACTTGGATAGCCTCTTGTGAYGTGACAAATTCTCCCACCGAAATTGCTGTAGATTGTACAGTTGGACTCAATAAGCCAGGAAAAATTCTAAGCACATGTTGGCTTCCAATATTCATTGTGAATCACCAAGTTCATAATAAAAGAATTCCAATACTCTCTCTGCTTTCCAAGGTTGATTTATGTCCATTTTAATCATCAATACATWGGTTGAAATTGTGTTGAAAAAATCTTGTGAAATTCGTTTATGGTTCTTGTTCAGTGATCTTGATGTTGTTGTTTTCGCTGGAAACAATGAAAATGAAAGACTTACAAGATTACATGTAACTGAAGTACAATTGAACAYGACTTTCAGAAATTTCTAAGCTAAATTACTGTAACTCTATTTTAAAACCATTGAATATCTTCAGCCTTCTAAGGATTCAATTACAACCTTTGACGTGTAGAGATGACTGTATTGTTGATTCTAATTTTAATAATTGGTTAAAATGATACGATTTCAATTTCAAAAGATGTCGCAGCTTATTACAAAATAATAACAAAGGATTTAACGAATTGTAAAACTGCTTGTAACCTTTAGGAGTGCTCCATAACCTTAACTTTATATTAAGACATGATTTCATTGATATTATTGGGCAAATTAACCCTGTTTTTTTTAGTAAAAACTGCAATAACTTCAAATTGGCGAGGTTTCTTTGAAATGTCTACTGGGTTTTGGGAGCAAATATTTGGTCATTTATCCGAAAGAACAGTTAGAAGCTCAACTTCTAGGATTTTAAAATTACTTATTAACTCTCWGGTGATTCATAGAGATTAGAATCTATGTCATTCTGAAGTTAAATGACTTATTTTTCCTCAGAAAATTAACTTTTATCYTAACACGTTTGCTAAAAACAATGAATTTCATGCCTTGGTAAATAGACTTTTCACGGTAAATGAATGGATAACAGAAAAACTTTTCTTTCTCAAAAAAACTCTTGGGAATTCTCCGAAATCCCTTAATAAATTCTTAAATTACGGGAAAAAAAGTTCTMATAAGAAGCAATTGAGTAAAGTTATTGAGYTATTTGCATGAATTCTTCCACACGCGCTCACATTGATGAACTGTAACCACTCGYAGAGTTTCTTTGCTGAGAAATATAATTTACTTACCGTAGTTTACTATTCAGTTGCCATGCTTGTCTGGAGTTTATAAGTCTTGAATTTGGTAAAGAAATRAGAGTTTTCAGTCTTTCAAGACAGAAAGAAACCTAACACAATTTTGTAGTGTACCGGAAACTACGCCACGAATTCGGCAAGGGGTCATCGCCCAAAACAGCATGCGCAAACAAACCCTCATTGAAATCCGCCAACATTTGGCAAACATTTATCTCGAAAAACTCCRCCAAAAATGACGTAAGATCTTTAAATATCGCAATTATTTTGAAGTTACTTTTAGTTTRAAATATCATTTAGCCGATAGGAAGAGTTTTAAAGTCTAAGAAAGAAAATTTATTATTTAATTCGCATTTTTTTTAACACATGCCAACGGCCTGTCACACCTTTCGTATGTGTGACTTATGACCTCATTTCAAATACTATGACGTCGGCTTGTTAGTATAAGCCTACGAAAATATCATGTTTAAACAAAGTTTTTGTCTTTTGGTTTGTACAAAGATAACAATGTGCCGGTTGGCGTTCCTAAAGATTAAAAAATTATTCACAATGACTTCGTCGGATACGAAATATTTTTTCTCTCTGATTTCCGTATTCAAGACTAAGCAGATGACGTCATAAGTGGTTTTTGTCTCTTGAGAGTAAATAAGACACTGCCCTGGCCATAATCGACACTGCAAAACACAAGAAAGAACTGTAAATCACAAGATAGAAAATTAAAATGATAATCACTAAAAGAACGGGTACTTTCGGTACAAGAAATCGGCCTCAGTACTAAACCGGGCACTAAACGGGTACTCTCGGCGCGCAGAAACTTACCATATTATAATCGCTTTCCCAAATTCATGGGATTGTTTTACACTTACTAGACAAAAGTTGGTTTAAACTGTTTACAACTGATCATTTCCGGTTCTTGAATCTGTCTGAGTCCAAGCACTGACAGCGCAAGTTCATTGYCCGCTTTCACAAAGTCAATCATAAGAGGATACACTTTATCAAGTCTATATAGATAGTCACTCCCTAAATAGCTTAATCAATTTAGAAAGCTAATGACCTCCTATAAGATATAGCTTTACAACAAAAAACGAAAATAGATTTTCCTTAAGGGTCGCCATACAGGATAAATCTCGGGCACGYTATGCTGGGTCGAAGTTGCGCAGTGGAAACTGGATTTTCTAGGAGGAGCCGACAGGTTCCTGGAAGAAATATATCTGTTCTTATGACCCAGTCATCTGTAAGTCACAACTGGTTGCCAGCGATCGAGAAATTGAGGAAAAAAAGGCAAGGAACTACTTTAAAATTTTTTGCCAGGAAAATAAAAATCCTAACTAAATATAAGCCATTTTGTTGAMCTTGAAAACGTTTGCCAAGAACAAAAGTATAAAGGAAGAGCGCCATATTTGTTTGTRAGATTGTCAACAATGTAGCTCAAAATCCCTTTCCCAGGAAAAAATTCGTACAAGAACAATTATTTAGAAGAACAGGCCCCGTCACTGAGGGTCTCAATGGGGTTAACCGTGAGCCGTGAAACGGCTGAAAAATTAGCCGTGGGGTCGTGAGTCGTGTAGTGTCCTCGCAGCCGTTGTTAGTGGCGGGCTCCCTGTCCCCCGCCCCACAAATGCGAAAAAATTAGCAGTGAGCAGAGGCGTGAATATTTTTTTTATAGCGTTTTTGTTCCTCAGAAGGACAGTCAACTCCAGGCGCGCGCTTTTAATGTTTTTTTGGGTAAATTAAAAAAAATAAAAGCTTTAGTGGAGATTTTTCAAAAATTATATGTCTGGGAGTCAAAACAATTCACCAAAATCTGAGTAAAATGTAAATTCAGTCTTATCAAAGATACTTTACTTTATTTAGGTGTAGATAGTCTTCCTTTTGACCAATTTCAGTTGACAATTTAAAGCTTCTTCGCCGTTCGACATAGAATACATTCGACTTGACATTAAATTTTTCACGTCTCTGGACGAACTCCCGGACACGGAATGTCACGAAAAATCAGTATGTCCGGGAGTCAAAATCACAGTAAAATGTAAATCCAGTCTAATCAAAGATACTTTACTGTATTTAGGTGTAGATAGTCTTCCTTTTTACCAAATTCATTTGACAATTTAAAGCTTCTTCGCCGCTCGCCATAGTATACAATCGACTTGGCACTTAGATTTTTCACGTACCCTCTGGACGAAGTCCAGGACTGAATGTCACGAAAGACCACGGATTATCATTCACTCTCTTCAATTATTAGTATTCACTAGTTTATTTTCAATAATTATTTGATAATCAATATTAATACATTTGTAAACTTTATCGAAATGTGGAACGTTCGAGTGTAATGTTGGTGTTTCAGGTCTTAATTGTGTTTAGTTGAATCCCGGTATCTTTGGCAACAGCTACAATTGTAGTATCGGTCTTAAGAATTTCAAGAGATTTTTGTCGTGTTTTTTATCCGAATACTAGTAATGCCTGTCTGATATAAGAACCGTAAAACTAATTTAAAATGTCACATGATTTGGACAACAATAACGACAATTGAACAGCTTGGTGAAAGCCGTCACATTACACCGAACATCGGAATTCGGCCGCAAACGACCACTCAGCACCCATCCCACCCAACCCCGGTCAAATAATAAATCTACTGAAGAATGATTTTGCAAAGCCTGTATCGTTTGCTAATTATTGAGCTGAGCTCTGATTGGCTCGCTACTCCCTTTGGATTTTGGTGACGTCATATATTAGCATAGATCATCACCGAATAGACTACCCAAATTAGATATTAGATATCTAAGTGTCTTCATAGTACGATGGTCTAAGAGGTTAGCTAAAGGTATGCTCTAGTGGGCGGCTACCCCCTCACTCCCTGGCCTTTTGGTTAAAACTAAGTTTTATGTTCACTCGGGATAGCGTGGAAGAGCCGAAATCTCTAACCGTAACGTAAGCCGATTCGCCGCCTCAGCTTCATAGAATGTCTCGGGGGAATCGTCCCATCTTTTTAGTTCTTTTATTTTCATTATTTCTTATGTATTCCGGGGGGTGCATCTTCTCCTGAAGTGAAAGTCCTGAGTTCGAGTCCTGCTGCTGGAATTTCTCTTTTTTGCTTGCGTATTGGTTCTTTTGCGTTTGTTTCCCGTTTTCTTTTATTCTTTCTTCTTTTGCTCTTTTTCAATTAGTCTTTTYCTTTGCTGTTTTCACTTCGTTTTCTTTTTTATAGCGATTTTCTCTTTTCAGCTTAAAGGACTCGCAAGGAACACCTGCTACAAGTGGATGGTTACGGTTCCGTCACTCAACATCATGAAATAGTAACGAGATGCCCCACAATGCCTTTCGTCACAAAAATGAAAAAAATGACTTTATAATGTCAATGTCACGTTCATTTATTCGTGGAAGTATTCATCAAGGTCATGAACGTTTTAATGACGTTTCAAGGGGAAGATAGTGTTCTTTTATGAGGTTCTCAATGGGGTTAACCGTGAGCCGTGAAACGGCTGAAAAATTAGCCGTGAATCGTGAAAATGAGAAAAAATTAGCCGTGAAATGGCTGAAAAATTAGCCGTGAATCGTGAATGAGAAAAAATTAGCCGTGAAATGGCTGAGAAATTAGCCGTGAGTCGTGAAAATGAGAAAAAATTAGTCGTGAGGCATGAAAAAGCCAAATTTTTAGCCGTGGGTCGTGACGCGGACCCCCTATTGAGACCTTATTGAGAATTTTTTTCCGCCCGTCGGGCCGTTCAGGAATTGTTTTCCATAAACTCTTTCACTTTTCCACCCCACCCCCTTAAAATTCTAATGGATCGCACCTACCAACAAGGTAGTAATTGTAAAGTCCTGCAGGCAAGTCAGGGCATGGACAAAATTTGACTCATTTGAGAGTAAATAAAAAATTATAATAACTGAGTGTCTATAACGTACAAGCCCGTACAACGTACAAGCCCGGGGACACTGTGCTCCCACACTCACTATCTCTAGCACAAAACAAATTATGAAAAAGTAAGTGGAAAACGTATTTCAAAAATTTCTGAAAGTAATCTACTTAACCGTGATTCGAAAAAAATAGTCGTGAGTCGTGAAATCGCCAAATTTTTAGCCGTGAGTCGTGATGCGTACCACCCCATCGAGACACTTAAGCTCCTTCCTGATTTTACTCAAAAATTCGCCTTTCTCGGTCGACTAATTGCTGGTCAGAACAACTGAGTTTCCTAGAAAGACTATCACAGCATAATGGTCTCCATTCGCGATCAATCAAATCCAATTCGATCGTCCTAGGTCAGTGCAAATTTGGTCAGCTCCCACAATTCGCAGCGATCTCCGTCATATCGATCAATCCCGCATCCAATTTTGTTAAAATAGCTGTTCTTCAAAACGATTGGTCATTTTTTCCATCGTTACGAATGAGTAATTTGATTGGGTCAAAACTCTCAGGACATAATCAACCATAGCAACGAGGGTGTGTAATTCCCGTTTCAAGATTGCCATGGTAACGATCCACACCCAAAGCTGTTTCCATGGCAGTTTTCAAGTCATTAGGGTGGATAAAAATAACCGAGTGAAAAAATGTACTTGAACAATCATACTTATCTGTAATTTCATAAACGCTGAATTGCATCAAGGCCTCGATTAGAGTAAAACAATTTAACTKAACAAACCCTTCAGTTTATTCCCTAATGAACTATGCGAAAACTATCAAGGAAACAGGCTTTCAACGTGGACGTTTAACCATTTTCTTTGTACCATATGTGGGGCGTTGCTTTTGAACATAAAATTTAATGTATGGACGTAGCGCCTGAAAGGTTATTAGGTTCAGTTATTCTGCGCGCGATAACTCAGCTAGCCCTCAGTCCGTTGTCAATTGGGCCAGGCAGTCCTTCACACAAACTACATATTCAAAGTACATTTCGTCGGCCAAGTCCTGAGGTAGGCTATTMTTTTACATTATAACTTACCATTTAAAGAGAAAGAATTTTGAACTTTCACAGTATATGGTTGAGTGGAAGAGAATTTTTCAACTGATTTAAAAAAAACTACATCAAAATTTTGATGAAAAGAGAAATGTTTCAAACTTAATTTAGTGTACATATTCATGCCATTCTACTAAATTTGTAGAAAGAAAGAGAATTAAAATTTGTATCAAAAATT